GTATAAGAAGATGATGATGAGACAGATAGTCAGATACTCGGTTTTATATCATTTTGTGTAAAACAACAAAAAACACAAGTTAAGCTTATACGAGATCGAAATAAAATTACGTTTATTAACACTTCAGGATAATCACCATCTTCTTATACTTTATTTAAAACAGTCCGAGTACCAAATAGATGAAACCAAAAAGAAAATGAGTTGCCTGTCATTTTGTAGTTCACAAGGCAAAGATTTATTGATTTCATTCAAAAAATATTGATTTTTCGTTTTCTATAACGGTTTTCGTATATCTGTTCTGTGACAGAAATTGAACAAAATGAAAATTCTACAAGAGTGTCTCTAATTACATTGCATTAATAAATGTGATTTTAGATAATTTCGAATCAATGAGAATGTTTTTTCTAAGACTATTACTATATATGCAACTTAAACGATTATTCTAGTGAACTCTTAAAACTAGTTTATACTTTTAAGGATAATTTCATTTTTAAAGTGAAAAGCAAAACTTTTTATGAAAAAAGATCATGGGGAAAAGGTTGAAGGTTTACAATTCCAGAAGTTAATCTAAAAATCCATTTCTATTGTGCCGAAAACAATTTTAATAAATCTAACATATTTGTAATACTTTTCAATTTTATCCGTTGATTAACGTGATTAAAGTTGTTAACTTTCAACAATATGTATCTAAATTGAAGGTAAAAAGTTATAATTATTTATATTTACCGTTCCAATTCATTGCACAATAGGAACATTTAGTTAATAATCTAAATAATAATTACGAATGTATTCCATAACAATATAAAACCGTGATTTTGAATTAATGATATTTTAACGAAAAATAAGACTTTGTAAATGCTTTGTCAATTAATCGAGATATTTAGTTTTTCTTCTTCTTTGTATGCACATATGTTAATCTATGCATTAAGTGTAAAAAAACATTGAACTAACAAAAATAAAAAGATTGCAAGAACACCTCGACAAGAATAAGATAATAATATGGTTAACAAAACAGAAGTCGACACAATGATATTATTACAATGTATTCAAGTGGTTTCATTTTTGGATGCATGTCATGTTTTGATGAATGACAAAAAAAAACATTTTCTTCGGCGAACAAAAGAATAAATAAAAAAAAAAAGATTTTACACTGATTATACTGCTGTTCCTCATTTAGACAATTATTAGTGATGGAATTAATTCAGTGAAAATCCTCTGTCATTCACTCACTTAAATAGTATAGTCAAGTAGGTGAATATTTTAGAAATCAACAAATATGAGAACGATGACAGCAAGTGAAACTTATGTGTTAATATGTGCGTAGTCGTCATACACCACTGTTTTTATTAGTTCTGTTTGTCATAGACTCCAAAACATGAGAAAAAAACAACTAAAAAAAAAATAAGCTTCTGTTAAAAAAAAAAATTTACATTCAAATTCTCATTTTTTTAATAATAAATTATACGGTGTTCACGTATATCATACACATGCATACGTATGTGTATATATATATATAATATATATATACAGCATGCTCTCTACACTTATTTCTATGTACCGTTGGTAAATATGACGTTTTCTTTTCCATCCATACATATTTCACACGTTAAGATATATTAAGATGGGTTCCATTTTTCTTCTGTATTTTTAAACGAAATCTTTTTTTTTTTCATTCAATTTCGTACTTTTTTTCGGTTTTTCCTGTTGTTGACTTTTCTTCATCAATCTCTAAAAAACAGTGTGAGAGAAAGAAATTCGTCTAAAACATAACTATTGTATACGTGTATATATATTGTTCTTTTTATGTTCATCTTCTGTTATAATGTTATTTTCAACGACATGCCTTTAAACATAAATCAATCAGTTTAGGTGGTATTGATGTTACTGTAATAGTAAAAGATCTCTCTTCTTTCTCTATATCAGAAAGAGAGATGAACATTTGTATGTCATTTCTTGTGATATAGAATAAAAGAAAAAAATTCTATCATACTATATTTTATATTACTTGGATATACAATTGGACTTATTCAAATCTATCACATATACACTGTTTCTTTATAACTATAAAGAAAAAAGCTTGCATTGTCTCTTTAGTCAAAAAGCCCTAAAGCAATCGTACATGAAAACAGAACGGTTGACGTTGTGCAATACTCACCAGCATACAAAAAGCTGAGTGCATTTTTTTATTCTCTAAAATGTGCACGATTACGCATTGAGGCAGTGAACTGAAAATATTGTTGTCTGCTCCAAAGTGAACATTTGTTGCCACCGTAACTCGACAAAACAGTGACTTCATATCCACTTAGATATAATATTACCTTCCTTTCTTTTTCGATTTTGTTTCAATGTTGCAAAATTATCTGAATAAGAGTCATATACAGATATATTTATTACCTTTCAGTATATTTTGTGGTTATCATAGAGATATTTCTCATAAATATAAAAAGGTCATATAAGTAATTTACACTAGTTAAACAAAGCTTATTTTTATTAGATTTAGTTGACAACTGATCAGACGATTTGAAAAAACCTCGTGTTTTCAATGATGCTATGTAGATATCCGAATAGTGATACTTAGAAAACACTAATCTGATATGTGAAGAAATTAATAGACTTTTTACATAAACTAAAATATATATCGAGTTTTATTTTAAAAATCTTAGATAAATAATTAGTCGTTTAGAAGTACGTGGCATTCATCAAATACTTTTCACTACTCTAGGTAGCATTCTCGAATATGTGAGAAAAGGATCATAAAGGAATGGTTCAGCTTCAACTCAGCAAGTGGAAAGTTTTATGAAGTCTATATATAAAACTTGTTTCATTTGAATGACTTTAATAATTAAAAATATTCTGATAATCGAGTTTGTAAAAATTATAAATATTGTTCGATATTCTACCCTACTACTATCTTATAATCTAAGCACCTAACAAATATCACTAGAGTCCAATAAACTGAATAATATTCCTTCGTTTTATGCTTTAATTTATTACGGACGAAAGGCGCTCTTGGATCATTTTTCTCTATAAGATTACAAGCCAAGGTTTAATAAGATTTTCCTATGATTTTTCTTGATGCCGCCCGACAGATTAGTTCTTCCCGTTGAAACGATACTAGATATACAGCGGTATATTTTCTTGTGCCTTTAAAATGTTCGTACAATGTGCGAACACGTTCTTTATTTCTAGTTCAACACGTGTTTTACGTTGTCATGAAAGATGCCGGACGTAGAAATATTCAAATAAAAAAATTCTCAACGGTCACACGTTCGATGTGACTTTCTATTGGGATAATGGTAGAAACTGGCGCGTACGTTAGTATGTCATCAGTAATGAAAAAAGTGTTTGATTATAATCGACGATAACCGAATTGGTTCGGTGCTATGATCAAAAACATTCTCACTCAATGAAATGCTGGAAAGTGTCGTTTCATTCATAGTCAACTATTACAACGATCAAAGATTGTTAGATTGCAATATATCAGCTTACTGCAGTATAGTATTAACAAAGGAAAAATAAGATGAAAAGGGTACAAAAAACAGAAACAATACTGAGAAAAGTTATTGAACATCAGCAACAAGGTGTATGATTGTTTTTTGGTATGTGATGATAATAAAGATTTAGTGAATATTGATATGACAGAACTGGGTACATAATCGTCATACAAATAAACAGAAAACGCTTAGTGTATTTTGCTAAATTTATTATCAAAATTATACGCGATAATCTCTGTAGTGGGCGATGATGATAAACCAAAATTAATCATGTTCATCGATGAAGCATAGCATAAGCTAAAGTGTCCTCTACAGAGCTACGCAAGCCCGAGGTCGCTAGCTAACATGGTTTTCGGACAACATGGGTTTTTACTAAGATCTACCCAATGATTTATCCAGTAAGCGGCGCTTCATCGGAAATTATCAACATAGAGAAAGTTTTTGAAAAGGTTTTTTAGAAATCTCTGAAACGAATAGTTTTTTTTCTAAATCCACCGGCAGGACTGAATCTAGCAGATAAAATGGCATGTGTTGAATTTTTGTAGTTTGGATTTTCACCAGGTAATTGACCCGTGTAATTGAAGTTAAAGTTTCGATTTAGCTTCGATATCTATCGACTTCTTTTTCACCTGTCAGGTACACCACCTGAAAATTCGATTTTGGAAATCCCTTATACATTTAAAGATGCAGTAAAGTGTTCTATACAAAATGGCAAAAACAGCATTTCTCTATAATCTACATTAAAAAAACATTCAGTTGTGAAATGGATAGTAACACCAATATGCATATATGACATTTTCACGCCTTCAAATACTCAATTTTTATTCTTTATAATTCAAAATAATTCAATTTTATTCTTATAACCTATTTGCTACTTGACTCTGGTCAATGACATTATTTAACACACATTACATGATCAGATGGCTTAAAAACATGAGACTCCATGTTAGCTGTTGGTGTCCGTCCGTAACGGGGGAGCAATAAAAAATCGATGAAACTCTATAAATTTTCAGATATAACCTTCTTTTATAGTTTTGTTTTGTCTAGATAGAAATTTTTCGAAAAACGACAACTGGAGCTTCACAATAGCAAATCCAGAAGATAGATTTTGGTCGATTTGTAAAAGGGTTTGCTAAATTTCTGTCGGAGAAGAATCGGCCCTTATATTGTGAATTCCTTACGTTACACAATTTAAGCATTTATAAGATTTTCAACGGTTTGTTTTATATAAATTACAACACAAAGAATAAAATACAAGAATATTGATAGAAGAACAACAACAGCAGAGTGCATAGCGAACTTTTTTAATCACCGGGATTAAAAATGTCAAAATTCATTTGGATAAAATCGTAAACCTTCAATTGAGTCATCTCGACACAGTGAACCTGAGTTTTCAGCAGCAACAAATCTAGAAAAAAAAATTTAAATGTTTCGATGGCTGTTACAAACTCTTTGTTCACAACTTACCTTTCGCGAGCCACAGATATAGGTATTCCAAGTTGATTAGCTAATTCGCCAGCACTCATTGATTTTGATGCATTTACCTACAATAATAACATGTAGAGCACTAAGTAGAATCTTATTAAACCAGTTTGAACAATACATACAAGTGCAATAATTTCTTGCATATCCTTTTTCTCGTTTCGATTTGCCAGTTCAAAACTTTTTACACCACTGCTTAATGTACGTAATCTACAATTAAACACAATCGATTAGAGCAATCATTTTCAATAATTCTTAATTAGTTTTCTTACCGAACAGGTAAATCTAATTCTTCCATATGAACTGCAGCATTAAGTAAATCTTCAGGCGAAATTAACTAAAAAGCAAGCATTACAAAAGCAATCAATCTCACCATTTCTAAAGCATCAATATCATGGTTACAGATCACTGTAGTTAGACGATAATTAGTGAATAACATTACGCACAACAATGCATTCTATTTCTTCAATACATAGTGGCAATAAATTTTTACCTCAAATCCTCGAGCACGATTAATCCGACAATAAGCATCACTGAGTGTCATAATGCCGTTAGTATCCTAAATAAACAACAGAACATATACAATTTGATAAAAAGAGTGGAGAACTAATCAACTTTTAGTGCTTTTTGCAATACAGTAGCCAATTCTTTTGCCAGTTCTATGTGATATTTACTGCCAGCCGACTCTTTCGTAATTGGATTGTCAATGCCAAGGCTTAGCAAATACGAACGGAAACGTATTGTCTACAAAAATAAAAACTATTGTCAAAATGACGCATAAACAAAGAATTGAGATAAAAAACAAACCTCATCACTTGATAAATCGCTACGTTTTTCTTGAATTTTTGCTGATATAGCTTTTGATACATAGACCATATCTTTTGCCTGAAATTAATAAATCTTTATATATACAAAATAGTACAAGTAAACATGCATAATCTTACCTGCTCCATTAATTTGTTTAAATCTTGGAATGCTCCACTTATTGATTGATGTTGAACATTCAGTTGATGGTGCATATTTTGTTCTATGCTTGATATGCCACGATATTCTCTACCACTCTAATAAATAATAAACAAACTGTTGTTGTTTATGAAAATGTGCGATAAAAGTACTTTACAGTTGATGCTGATGGACGAATGGGTTCTAATAACCAACGTTTTTTAACTAATTCATCTTGCACTAAACGTAAAAACTTTAATACGAAAAACTTTTAGATAAAACTATATTGATCTTAAAATATTAACTTCATTGCATCCACCATCTTTAAATTCAAATTGTATTTCATTGTAGCGACTAGAGATAAATGGTCCAGATCGTTTTGGCGCTTGAACACTGGAAACAATACTAACAATTTTAGCTCTAAAATAAAGTGAAAAGTTTAAAAAAAATACGATAATTTGGTTTAATATTACTTTGACGTTAACGAAGCATCCTTTTTCTCAGCATAAACTATATATGATAATGGCAATTCTATCTAAAAGAATAAAGAATCTCAGAATTTTGACATAAATACACATAATTCATACTTGTGATGTATTGTCTTTCCATAAAAAACGATGACTGGTCAAAGTAATTGTTCCTTTTTGATATGCAGTCTAAAATACCGGTAACCAAAAGCAACGATATTGATTAAAATGCAATGCACACTTCTTAGTCAGCGTGACGTAGGACGAAACAATTTTACTAACTAAACTCGATATAGATGTCAGAAGGTAAGAACTATTACTTTTTCTGGACCATCTTGAATTGAAACACCCGTTTGTGTAGCAATTATTATTTCACCCATATGTAACTGACCATCCGTCCACGCAAAACGATCGGCCATTTGTGAAAATAATCTTAGTTTTAATGTCAAGTCAACAGATAAAACTTTTTTAGTAGTTCTGTCATAAATTTGCTTGATATCAATAACAGACAAACGTTTTCAAACTAATTATAAATATATTTCATCTAAGATAAAAAATTATGTCAAATCGACAATAGTATCTATCTACGTATTTGTTTCCTTCCCTATTGAATATCGAGTTTATGATAATGACCTTCGCGTTTTTTCCGACTTTATTTCTACCAAGTTTGTATACAAAAAAAAGTGAACTCATTTTTCTAATCTAACCACAAATGTTCACATACAATATAAAAATAGTAGCAGCAAAAAAATAGGATGAGAAAATATATCTGACGTTTATTTTTATCGTTACATAGGAGAAGAATATATGTATAAAAAATATTTTGCTATCGTTTTTTTTGAACAAGAATATATCTATCAAAAAATACTATACAGACAGACAAAACATAAGGTCATTCGAAGTAATCTAAACAACAGTAATTGTTGTTCGCTGTTGATTCACATGCCATAAGCCCATTTCTTCATAACGTTCTAATGCATCATCAAATTGATCGGGTTTAAGACCCTTTGTGAGACAACGTTCTTTCGCTTCGGCATAACGAACAACTTTTGCACCGGCCGTTGGTACCATATCACGAATAAGAGCAAACACTTGATCAATGGGACTCATTTGTCTATAACGAGTGAACATAAGATTATGTATTTTCTAAGAGAATTAGAAGAAAGATCGTACCGTGTTGGTAGATTGTCATGATCTTTTAGCAATAAACGAGATGATTCCATTAGACGTAAAGCTTCATCAATATCTTCTTTATTAACAACCTCATCATACCGTAAACGTGCCAGAGCGGTTGCCAGACGTAATATGGATAATAACATTCGAGCTGATGTATAAGTCATATCTTTACTACATCGTGCTTGTTTACGTAATTCAACGTAAGCCGTAACAACATAATCCAATAATACTTCTGGCACAAGCGGCTGTTTATTCTTACATGCAGCTATATAACGTCTAAATAAACGAACAACATATTGTTTAAATGCATGCTACCAGATGTTAAAAATAGTCCTACCGTAATGTTTTCATGTCAATAAAATCTTTATTATTTTCATCTTGTGGTTGACATTGATTTTGATGAACGGATGCTATATGTCGTGCTAATCTAATTAAATAGAAAACAACAAAACGTGACAGGTTTTTATTGATTGCTTTTTCTTACTTCAAATCAATATCACGATCATTTTTGTCTTGAATGATCCATAATAAATCAAAACGAGACAATAGTGCAGCTGGCAATTGAATATTTTGTTCAATTGAACGTTTTGGATTATAACGACCATACGCAGGATTAGCTGCAGCCAAAATTGAAGCACGCGCATTTAATGTTGTTAAAATACCAGCCTAAATAGCAACAATAAATTCTATTTGGCGATAATCTCTTATTGTGTAACTATACCTTAGCTATCGAAATTGTTTGCTGTTCCATCACTTCATAGATGGCTGTACGATCATGCTCAGTCATTTTATCAAATTCATCAATACAACAAATGCCTTGATCAGCCAAAACTAATGCACCACCTTCCAACACCAATTCATCTAAACGAAGGAAAAATCCCATTAGTTCGATTTATAAAAAACCAATCAAAAAACTTACTTGTCACTGGATCTTTGATGAGTGCTGATGTCAAACCAACACCCGATGAACCACGACCTGTTGTATATTGACTACGCTGTGCTAAACGATCGACATAACTTAATAGTTGTGATTTAGCAACACCAGGATCACCCATTAAACAAATATTGATATTTCCTAAACATATAGAACAACTCATTGTTGAGTAAAACGAAATAAAACATTTTCTTACCGCGAACTTTCATTCCTTGAGGTGATTTGTCGATACCTCCAACTAATAACAGTAGCAAAGCTTTCTTTATATCTTCATGACCATAAATTTCTGGTGCGATACTCATTGCTAAACGATCGTACAACTCTTTTTCTAAATAAAAAATATAAGCACAAAAAGTAATGAGAATGAAAGTAATGATACAAATGTCTACCTGCAAATAATTCAGCTAACTCATCGTCATTCATTTCTTTTGCTTCCAATTCTTCATCTTCACTTTTGTTCAACAAAACTATTCTCTAGAATGAGAATCTGAGTCATATCTGGGATATTAGGTTGCTCTCTAAAATTTTAATCTCTTACATGTGCTTCTAAAAATGTATCTGATAGTAATCCTTGTACCATTTGTCGAAAACCCGTCCTTAATAATGGTAAAAATATGCCGGTAATAGCTACATGATCGCCCGGTTGACATAAACGTGTATTTGTTCCACGACACCAAATTGACATTGACCGTGGAATATTACCAACTGGAACTTGATCAGTCTAGACGAGAACAGCAAATAGTTATTTAGACATGTTACCATAAGAAGGACTCACATGTTCTTGTATTTTAATTTCTTGAAATTTAATAAATTTTGAACCACGTGTTTGCAATGATAATCGACCACCCGATTTATTAATCACACAATCCTGACTTGGACACATAAGAAGCGGCATAAATGTGGGTGAAGTAACCTAAAATTGGATAGTTCAGTTTGTAGTTTGTTATAAAAAGTGATATAATCTTACTGGTTGGTATGTTTCAGAACCACATATATCACATGTGTACGTTGCCACACTAATCATCGGCTTTACTTCGGTTGTTCGTGTCACAACACCTTTGACTGTTATCAATTTTCCAATATGGGCAGCTTTAACTTGTCGAACACTTAAATATTTACTCAATGTAGATGCTTTAAAATATATTTCACTAAAATAAAAGATAAACTTGTATTGATTTATCTCATTTATGTCATAAAAACAACTTACAAACGTCGCATTAATTCATCAGGATAACGATTCATTTTATCATGCGCTTCGTCCTGACGATGGAGACGTTGTTCCATAAGTATACGATGCTCAATATAAACGTCCAATACATCTTTATTTTTCAGCTAAACAAGTAACAGAACAAGGTTAAAGATTGAAAAGGTTACATTCTCTTTAATGACGAGAGATTTTTGCCTGCAAACCTCTTGATCTTTATATTCTGGTAACATTTCTTGAATGACTGTAGCAAATAACTGAGTGTAACGACGAGTATTTTCTGTGATTACATCGGAAAGTTCTCCTAGCTCTTGAACTGATGCAATATCATCCAAATCAATGCAAATAGCAGTTTGTTCACGATTGGCCAAACCTTTCTAAAAAAAGAGAGAAAATTCGATTTTTCTCTACAGGAAATGGCGACGTATCAGTTGTACATACAAGTTGTTTTTGATATTTGAATGCTCTGTGACCATCTGCAGTATCGACTTCAAATTCACTAAGAAAATTTTTTATTTTGCCTAAACAAAGAAATATAATTTGAGCATAGAAGGACCTCTCTTAATAAGAAATAAAATATTTTCCAGAATTGAAAACCTTTAGAAGATTTAACTTTTGATCACTGGAAGTCTTCTGGCTCAGTGAGAAAATATTTTACTAGCCCCTCTAATATCTGAACTATCGCTACGCCTTTCTTACCTTTGTCGGCTATATAATCTCGAATTGTATTTTGCATTATTATTATTGAAGTATGATATTATCTAGAAACAAAAAAGGTCATAAAGAAGTGCACTCATCCTGAATACATTATTAAAAACCCAAGTAAATAGCGGAATATGGTAGTCTAATGACGTGTGTCAAACATGTCATGATTTCCGTAATCCCTCTAAGCGATAAGTAATGAAATAGTTTTCAACTGCAACGAAAGTCACTTTTCTTCTGAATGAGCGAGACGGTTCATTAATATTCTTAAATTTATGAACTTAAGCACAGGTCATATTCAAGTGAAACCGAAGACTTAACTGGACATCTAGTTTTTTGATAAAACACTAAAAATTGAGTGAATTCTAAACTAGAGAATACGTCGAGAATTCAGTGCTCACTTAACTGTACAGACTACTTAAGAATACTGATGAAACAATCGTAGTGTTTTCAACGATAATCATAAGCAAAGTAGGTTTCCACAGTTTAAACACCGCATTTTTTGATGCGATCTCTCCTAAAATCAGAGTGGAAACAAAAGTTTTAAAGTGGAAACCTGTTCTGCTTCATCGATCATTAAAAATGTTGTGCTACAAACGTAAATGGGCTATAGAAATTTCTCGCTCTAAAACTCCTGACAATACACACAAACGCGCTGCTCGCTCTAAGATAAATAAATTTACAAAACGGTAGCACTGAAAATTAGAACGCACGGACTGAAATATATAAGCTTGTAAAAAGTTCAATTAAACAAACAACAATAGCGAAACAAAAGTCATTGTTACTAGCAATATGTTCCTATTCGATTTTAGATGACCAATAAAATGATGTCGCTCCCACAGCAGCAGCTGCAGGTCTGTCTCAGCGGCCTCATGATTAATACAGTGGAACCAGAGAACTAAACTTTTCACCAGAGATCTAAAAAGTGTATGGATATCCCCATGTTGTTTTTTGTGCTTATCTTTTGTCTCCGGTAAAAGTTACGCAATAAAATGATGATTTTGTAAATTTTTTTGAGTCGATCTTTGTCTAAAATATTGCTTTTCAAAACATGAGTATTTTTTATGGCTATGATTATATTTTGGTCACTAGCTAATTCCTAATACAAGTTAACATTCCAAAACAAATTTAAAATGATCTGATCGTGCTAGAAGATGACTAAGAATGAAATTACTATTTCGGTAGTATACAACAAACGGAAAAAGTAGATGTTTATGTACTTGGTGGTTCAAACTTAGCCGTAGATTTAAAAAAAAAATTTTTTCATTCTACAAGAAAACTTTTACACAAAATAAATAAAATGATTTTATATGATTTTCAATAAATATATCCAATGCAATGTTTTGTTGTATTTGTCAACTTTATTATCTAACATTACGCATTTACATTGTCCACGATCAATATTTAATCTTTGTTCATCAACGTTTTACTTGCAACATAAAAACAGCATTGAATTCTGTTTTAAACGGCGGTAAGTACAGAGCACAAAAATCTGCTTAAAGTTAAGCCTCATCAGCGCACGCTGATCAACACATTTTTTCTAATTTTATATGCACTATAACTCATACCGCTAGAGATAATTTAGTCGAAATCCTGCAATCAGTGGAAAATGAGACATTATATTTTTGTCTTCATCTATGATCTGTTACACTATCTGTTAATGACCAGTACCATCAGTATCATACCAGCACTTATTCTGGCAACATTACAACTGCAATCGTTAAAATTTGTTAATTGTTCTTTATAGACTGTTAGAATAGAATCAATTTTTATTTTAACTCTTCTGAAACAGTAATAGAAGGTACAAATGTTTTGCTTTTATTTTGAAGAGGATCATGTATCAATATTTCTCGTTACCTCAGGTAAAGTCAGATAGAGTCTATACCATCATAAATATTCATTACATACATATACAACAGTAGTCGAATATTTTTTATTGATAATGCATTGAATTTATCAAATTCGATTATTTATACTAATCAATTAAGTTCACTACTGTTGATAAGTAACGGTGGCACATTGAAAGAAACGTTCAACAACATACATAAAAGCTCAATTTAGGATCCTCAATAGATCATATACTCTCAATATTACGTAAAAGATTGTTTTAAGGCACTTATCCTGTCCAAAGATAAATTAAATGTAATAATATAATAGATGAAAAAGCAACAGATGGCAAAGCAACAAATTTTAACACTTTTCTAACTCATCCTATACGTTCTCTGGTGAAGTTCACAAGGTATTCTACAAAGTTAACATTTTTTAGGGTTTAGTTGATTGTGTAGATTCTCAAATTCTGAACTTTCTTCACAACACATTCATTATCAGACACCTTGTTAACTCAGTAAATTACTCAATTTTTGCAAACCTTCTAGTTTTGCTTGTTTCCTGAACATTAGCGGTCTTTGCGGATAATTAAAAAGCTAGCAAAGGAAGCCCGAACCGGATGTCGTTCAGCAACGGGAAAAAAAATGTATGGGGTGACTGTGTGTGTTCAACCGTAACCAAATTTTTTTTTATCGTTTGAATTTCTCATTACGTAAAAGATATTAAGATGATAAGAACAAGAATATTGAACGTCGACTTGCAGTGTAATTCATATTTGATTTGAAAGAAAAAAACGTTTATAAAGTGTATAATCAAATCATCTATCTAAACTTTGTATCCAAAATGGATATAAAACTTTTCATAGTTTGCTTAGCATCACTCATACAGTACATGTAAACAACAAAACAACTGATAACTATGTCAATTATATAATGGTAGGTATATTTGAAATATCAATTTTACTTTTCTGTTGATTTTTTATAAGAGTATAAGGCTGGCCTTCTGCTGCAGAGTTTGAAGATCGACTATATGTGAAAGAAAAACGTCAAACTATCATCTGTTATCCAGAAAACTCTTGTTTCCCATTCCCAGTGGGCTATTTGTTGAGAATTGTCATTTCTTAATTTGGAAATGTATTGGAAAAGTCAATTGCATTTTCAGAAAGTGAGAAAATTAATTGACAAATCGAAAGATTTGGTTTTTATACCTGTATCAGGCAGAAAATTATTTTGTGATTAGTGTAGGAAGCTAAGAAAATCGTTTTATATCTACAAGGCTTTTTTTGCCATTACTGACTGATAATGGAAAAAATATTTCGAGCGAAACTAATGTTCCTGTTTGTAATATTCAAGTTATTTTTTCATTGCTATTCGAATAATATATTGGCGAACAGCTCTAATATTTCAATTATAGTTTTGAATCTTGACAACGTTTTATGAAACATATAAATTAGCTATAAAATTACGTTATGAGCAGTAGAAAGTCCTTCGCAAGATTTGTACTACAGTCAGAATGTTGAGATATGTTTTTCTCATACGTTTGTATACTACAGATCACTGACAAAACATGATTTGTGAAAACATAAAAGTCGATTATTATGAAGTATTGGGTGTTCAACAGGACGTAGATGGTCAAGAGATTCGACGTAAATATAAAGAGTTAGCACTCTTATGGCATCCCGATCGAAATAAATCGTCTGATGCTGAAGAAAAATTTAAACTTATTAAACAAGCATACGAAATTTTAAGTGACGAACAACAACGAAAAAAATATGATGATCAACAACTCAGACAGAAAAATGTAAAACAACAACAAACATCGACTTATTGTACGACGTCAACAGTAACAACAGGTAGATGATTTATTGTCTTTTTTTTTCTACGCTATTATCATGTTAAATTTTGTTTTCAGAACCAACTTGTTTTTATCCAGATGAATTTATGCAATATTTTCAATCAGTTTATCCTGTAGATATTCTTGGTGATTTGTCGTTTTTTAATATGCAGACATTTGATGGTATATCTTCAAATAACGAATCTAACCTATTTAGTGATGTTCCCTTTTACGGTGATATTTATTTTGTACCAGAAACGTCAAAAAATACTACGCGGACATTTTTTTCTCGTCTATTATCTAATTTATCCAATTTTACAACAAAAAATCAGCATCATCATAATCATCATAAACTTTCTGATAAAATGAACAAAATGTCAAAAGAAAAACATTCAAAATCTCATTCACTATTTCCAGATCCAATTTACACAAAACGAAAATCATCTTCTTCATCTAAGACTAATCAATTCTCAAGCAAACAACATCATCATTCAAAACCAAATAAAATATACAATGTTCGTCATTCAAAATCATCATCGGTCTATCTGTCACCATCGATTAAATTTTTTGATCTTCCACTTGTTTTTCCAGAAAATTTTTTCGATGATGTTGCTCAATTAAATAAACAAAATAATTTGTTTAAATTTGATCCATACAATTTCTTAGAGACAAATGACGTTCATCAAACATTATCTCCTACTAATCATTCGCAATCAATTTTTGAACAACAAAAATTTCCAACAACTGATTCATTTTTTGATGATCTTTCTAGTTGTACGGTATGTCAAAAACGTATTTCAAATCGTACAAAACTCTTACAACATGAAACAGTATGTAAACAAAATCATCAACATTCTTCGAAACAAACACGAATCTAAAATAGTTAAATGTTATCTTATTAGAATAACTGACATTTTTTTCTCTCTAAAACTCAAAAATCTTCTATAGTCAGACATACTCAAATAGTCTGTACAACGTATGTATGTGTCAGATCTTCAAGGTTCAAACAGATATACTATTAAAATGACAATTTTAAAAGAAGATTAATCGTGTTTTAAAAATCGATTATTTTGGCAAATATGACTTGAAAATTATCAATCCAGTTTCATTGTCTTCCATCTATTATAAAATATTGTCATGTCAATCTTCATTTTTTGTTTGCTATTCTTTTTTTGTTTTGTTTTGTTTTGTTTATGCTATTTTGTCTAACTTTTCTCTTCCTCCCACTACACTGTAAACAGATCATCATCATCTCTAATCTATCTACAGTTTTTAGAAAGTAATAGATTTCATTTGAAGTTTTACTCTATAATATGTCTATTTATCTATGTAGAGTGATAAAAGAAGAATTTTTTGTCTTGTTTTTACTCTGTTTTCTCTCTGTTTTTAATAGTAGCTATTTGAGATATCAATCAACATGCCATCAAATATAAATAAAAATACATTAGAGTTAGAACATAAGAATTTATAAACAACTACTCATAACGGCATGTTATTGTTTTCAAAACTCACACTCATTGTTACAAAAACTGTAAAAGTAATATGTTCGTCTACAAATACAAAACTGTTCGTCAAAACGTAGCTATTGAATAAATAAACAGCAAAAAAAAATTAAATATCATAGACAAATAGCAAGAAAAATTAGCTTGACAGAAGATTGCTAGTTCTTCTGCTAGTAATCTTTTTTTCAATTGAAAATTTTAATTTTATGTTTATAACCAAGAAGAGAGATTCATACGACAAATTTATATTCAAAACGATCTTCTATCAAAGCAAATTAATAATCTGACATTAAATAACTTTTGTATCATTTCACCCGAGATAGATAGATAGATAGATAAATATACATGTATTTTCTTTATCGGAATTGACGCGTTTGATGAAAACAAAAAATTAAATGTTTCTAAAGAAAAAAAACAACAACGATGAGATGACGTATAAAATTAAAACAGAAAAGAGAAATTCTATAAATCAAACGCAATCAACTGTGTATATCTATATAGTTGTCTCCTAATGTTTCAGTGTCAATTTTCCTTTTCATTTTTTTTTTCTCTCTACTACTACTGTTTATATACAAATTTGTTATTTGTGTCTTCATCATTATCGGTTGGATAAAAACTCAAAAAATTAATCTTGTTCGATGGTGTCGAATTAAATTCTCACATCATTTCACAATTTTTTATCAATTCAATTTTTCATAGACTTTCTCAATTTAGCTTTTTAATTTTCTTCTTCTTTCTACGAAATTTGAGTCAACCTCAATAGAGAGATGAAACAAGTATGTTACTACAATAGGGCGTTCTACATACACACACACACACATTAAAGCTTCTTACACCATCAAAATTATTATGTCTCTTTCTTTTCTCACACTGACAAATGGCAATAGAGTAAAGAGTGGAATAATCATTTTCTATAAGATAAAAAAATAAAGAAAAAAAGAAAAAGAAAATGTACATTTTGAACATGTCAAATTTCTTTTCATCAAGAAAAAAAAATGGGAAAGCGTACAGACAGTTATATTGTTCTCTTTTTTTGCGATAAGATTTCTTTGTGTTTAGAGAGTCTGATTAGAAATTAGACGATTATATTTAATAACTATAATTAGCTTTGTGTGTATAGTTAAAAAAACTGTTATACAGTTCTCTTTCTTCTGAAGTGTACAAAGTAAACTCACAAGGTGGTAGCAGTCAATTTTTTGTTGACTATTGCTATACTAAATAATATGTATACCTATTGAGATAACCTAAAAAATTGAAAGTTAGATACCCGTAGGTTTAATTATTTAGAATAGTTGATTATAATAAATTTTCTTAATTAATTTTGACATGCTACTATCAGTATCTTCACTGATAGATTTCTGTTCGCACCCACGACTCTCTCTCTCTCTCTCTTCACTTTTGTATGTTTGTTCTCAAATAAAAGATAATCTATCTATCATTGTTTTGAGATAGTAAGAGAAAAATTTATTCTCATTGAAATCAATGCTCTATATAGTGTTAAGACAAATTATTAAATATGTCAATGTTGTTCATGATAGAATGTCTGAAAATAAATTGTGGCATTTATACTATAGAAATCAACCACTAATTGGAACCTAGACGATTATTATTCAAAAATTTTTTGCTACTGTTATTAGAAAATTTTTAACTGATGTACACTTAGAAGAAACAAGGAATTCTAAATCAGACAGTGACATAGCTTAAAGTTTTTTTATTGTCTTGATATCTAATGATACTATCTAAAGGAGAAATCAGTGACAGATCGGCTAAAACTGGTACGTATGAATCGAGAAATAAATCTTTCCGTATTACTTCAGAATAGTTTGGGTACAAAAAGACTCTTCTCGATAAAAATGCAATTGACAATCCTTCACATTTCAACATATAGAACGCAAATTTAGTTAATAGCAAGTTATATAATCAAGTAGCATGGTGTAGTAATTATAGTGAACGTGTATGATGAGCTCAAGTAATTGGGCGGAGACAAGTCTATGTTAGACTAGTCTTCCAGTCAGAACTGCAATTGATGACAAGTAACAATATAGATGATCAAGTCAAACATTTACTAGTTGTAAAAAAGGTATCAGGCAATTGCAACTGATATTATCAGCACCCTACATCGCCACCAGACGCGATATTCTTCCTACTTCTTTCTGATGGAGGTTATTCTATTCCTACGCTGTCCATTGTCCTCTAACAAACTAGTTGCAAAGTACTGTCGATTAAAAAATTCCTCTACAAATGAGCAGGTGTTGTGCTTTCGTCTATGAATATGGTAAAAATCTAGACAACAGACTCTTACGATCTATTTATTTCAAACAAAATAAAATAGTTTAGATAAATAAAAAATCAACCGTAGATTTGGATTTTCTTTCTTTGGAAGTCTTTCTAATTTTTGTCAGATATACATGCCACTCTATTCGGAAATTGAATATTGTATCAACATCATTACACATAGTGATCCAGCATCCAAAAGCTCAATTATAATCAATAAGACTTTGGTAATACATCATCATGTCTATCTAATCAAATAGAACAGTTCACTTTCAAGAAAAAAAAATGTGATTGGTTCTAAATTTTATAGTCGCGACTTGAAAAAGCCATAAATTCATTTTATATTTTTCTTCTTCGTACAATTTAATCACAGATTGTGTTGTTTCGCGTTCAAAAGAAAAACAAGTGCGATATGTTATTTTAAATTTACACTTAATTAAACGAATACACTAAAGAGTTTTTTTTTTTCTATCTGGAAAAAACATACGTCTCTGAATTGTTCAAAAATTTCTATTGTCATAGAAAGAAGAACAAGGAGAAACAACTCATGTTTTATTAACTAAATTGGACATATTTTAAATGGAATATAACGCTTAGTAAATTGTTTTCTTGAGAGAAAAAATTTTATTTTGAAATTTAGAGGAATAATTGATAGAGAATGAGAAAGAGATGATTATTTAAACTATTTATTTAGCAATACTATAAAATATAAAAATAAATATATTGATAAGTGTACGTTTTGCTTATTTTAGCAAAAAGAATAGTCGACTTAGATTAATGATTTCTCTCTCTCTCTCGGTTACATCTAGGAAAGGTTACTCACGTGTGAAATATACAATACCTTCAAACTTCTCTTGCAAATTGTTCCAATATCATACTTCAGTAGCCGTTAGATTGATAAGCTAACTATGTAAGAGATGTGATTTTCATCTCTTTTTCTTTTTCTGGTGTCATCATCGTTATCATTTAGCAAATATTTACAAGTATTTATTCATTACTTTTAACAAGTTTTGATGATTGATGTTTCAATTGGATTCTCATCTTCTTTTAGTCTATGTGTTGTGATTTTTCTCTTCACATCATGGGATATCTGTCTATGGTTGGTGTTATTGTGCGAAAGGTACTTATATTTATTACTGAGTAGAAGATAGATATAGATAGCCCTAAATAAGTGCATGTCGCTAAACAATAAGAAGAGAAAACGATATAACTACTATATACTCCTCAACTTCTATTATCAATAAATAAATATTGTTTATTTTACACTGTACAATCTTCTTCTTTCAACAAGTGGGTATATTAGACTTGTCAAGAGTATAGAATTCTTTTCTTCTCAGTATTGCACGCATACCCACACATACATCTCATTTTCTCTTTTATATATTGTTCGTTTATGATTGGATGAATAAAAAAAATTGTCGGTGACACGTATAATTGGTTACTTTTTTGTTATAGTTATTCTCTTCTACGAAGAAATTGACTTTCATTTCTATAATGAAATATTCGATACATTCAGCACTATCATACCTAGCAGTATTTATTAGTAGATAACAAGTACAATGTGCCATGTTTTCAGATGATACAGTAAGTGGGATGGCTTTTTGAAAGTTTTCAAATTTTTTGAAATAGAAAGTGAACAATATTTTTCTAATTGAAAACGGTTGTATGAGACAGAATTCGATAAAGTCCAGTGGAAGGTCACCAGCGGGGCAATTACCCCTAATTTTCATTAAGTCTAGTTTTCTTAGGTTTACCTGAATCGAATTCTAAAAATTCTTTAGAATTTTAGGAAGAAAAAACGTAACAATATGTTTCTGTATACAGATACTACATCGGATCATTCACGAAATACTGACTGGATGTCAAATATTTTTTCAGCTTTTGAGTCCAACAGATTCGAATATTGTTCTGTTAAGACTCGATTTTGCTCCGCGCTTGAAAAGAATGTTTTATTTCTATTACATAAACTAATGATTTAGTTTCTTTTTTTTGTTGTGTTTATTCTGTGCAAAGAAAAAAACATTAGAACGTGGCTGATATCCATTCACTTACGGAGTTCGATTTCTTTAATTAAATTTTTCAACACCGATTTTGACGCGAAAAACAAAATTTTCTAACCTGAACCTGATCCGATCCGTTTTGATCTCTTAGATGCTCACGGATATAGACTACGATTGCATTTGAAATTTTTTTAGTTGAGGTAACTTTGCACACAAATACCTTGTTTTTCGTTCAGAACGTTTTAATTCAAATAATAATTACCTTCGGTTCGTTCAACAGATCTAGTATAAGCGAGTTTATCTAACACAGTTTCAAAATGATATGTGGTCATCTTCCATGACAAATGGATTGATGACGAAAAGTGAGACTCTATAGACTTGCCTTTTTCCATCAAAGATTTGTAAGACTTACTAATTGTTGTAGCTTACTAACATCAGTTTTTTTGTTAACTAGTGGAAATGTTCAAGAATCATTGGTACTACAGCAATTCATCCATAACTGATGCACCAATACACAGTAGCAATCACATATTAAATGTGCCAGCAATAAAATTTGCTGAGCCATATCATTCAACGTTGTTCTACGAGCAAAAGGTAGGGTTTGAGGTGTTATGGCACAAAAGTCACTATGTTTGTTTGTCCCTTTAGATGTGTATATCTCGATCGAGTCAAGGAAATCGATTACCCTTTAATACGTTAGCTTGCAAAGATTTTCAAGTAAAAAATCATGAATTTCTTTTAATTAAACTGTTATTTATTCTTCGTTTCAGTTACCATTTCTATTTCCCTATTTGACAACAAAATCTGAAAATTCATCGATTCGAAACAGTCCAAGTTCATCGAGTGAAACGAATCACAGTTCAGCATCTGTAATTTCAGTGTACAAAGAAAAATCCGGTATATGCACGTTTATCTGCCTTTTTTACTCAATTACAACTATTTTCTTCTGCATGTTCTAGAATCAAGCAATAATGAACGTATAAGATTAAATCATAATCATTCAGAAAAACCAAAACATTCTCTACCGCCTTTAAAATTCTCCATTCAAAGTCTACTTTCTGAAGGGTCATTATCATCGGATCACGAAAAATGCGAAAAAGAAGAAGAACAAGAACGAGTTCATCAATGTACAGTAGCACCAACGATTGAGCAATCCATCTTACAATGTCGTTCGTCAAATGGTGGACGAGGACACAAATCTCTACCCTATCCATTGCGAAAAGAAAATGGTAAAATTATCTACGAGTGTCGAATGTGTTTCAAAACATTTAGTCAATTATCAAATCTAAAAGTACATTTGCGAACGCATACAGGTGAACGACCGTTTACATGTAATTTATGTCCAAAATCATTTACTCAATTTGCTCATGCACAAAAACATTCACTTGTTCATTCTGGTCTCCGACCATATCAATGTCCACATTGTCCAAAGAAGTTTTCTTCAACATCAAATCTAAAAACTCATTTGAGACTTCATAATGGCGAAAAACCCTATTTATGTTCTCAATGTTGTGCAAGATTTACACAGTTGGTTCATTTGAAACTTCATAAACGAATACACTCTGAAGACATAAATATGACATCGTATAGCCCAGTTTTGTAATGCACTTGTTCATATGTGTAACAGTTTTTATTTTTGTACAATGAACGATATGAAAATGGCACTTTAATATTAATAACAAAGTCACTTCTAATGACCATGTTGAAAAGGCAAGAAAGCTTTTCAAACATACTTAGACGATTTATGTGAAAATAAATCATTTGTTTTCAGTTAAAAAAATTAATAAAATTACTGGAAAAATGTGAATATGAAACGTCGATCTATATTACAACAACAAACTATTGGATAACATTTCACAGAACAAATGAAAGAAAAAAGTAATAAAGGGTGGGAATACTATATGAAAAGCTAAATGTTACGATTATCATTAAATATATTTTGCACCAATGGAAAAAAAGAGTAATGATTGTTTTTGATCATGGGTAATTAATATTGCTAAAAAAATCATATAAAGAGTGTGGTAATGACACACTCTTATACTCCGGCGTAGCAGATCTTCAAAGAGAATTTGTCACTTTTTTTAGTTTATCTGAGTAATAAACTTGCTTAGTATTACAATCATCGCTCAAACTGGTATAAAAAATTCATTTTACTAGTATGATTAAGAATTATAAGAATTCTATTCAATTTAGAATAAAGTGAAGCTATTTTTAGACCTATCTATCAAAACATTTTGAGGGAGGATTCGTCAAGAAAGATTAATCATGAAAACGATTTTTTCGTTCCTTTTAGAACCTGTTTGATTCTGAAAATTAATCTATCTATTTATTTCTTGATATCGAACTTTATTTACATGCAATTGATCACAAATTCAAAAAAATGGTCAATATTTGTGCAGAAACGGAAGACTTGAACTTGGACCTATCTGATAGGTCTAGATCCGAATGTGTAATAAAGTCTTGAAGATCTTAGCCTCTAAGCGGTTAAATCTAATTCTCAAAGATGAGCAAGTTAGAGATAGACCTGAACTTAACCATCGGTCCGAAGTGAACTTTTAAGCCTAATGATAATAATTTAGGTTAGCGTACAGCTTGAATACATGATATTCTTGTAATCATAAGGATTACTGCTTGAATTCAGTACACATTAGAAAACTCTCATGACACAGAATCAAAATACTACTAACATCCATTTCATTTTTCATATCTAGAACTAATTAACACCGACATTGTTTCAAATAGCCGGTGTTTCAGCATTCTTCTAGGCCGAGGTTAGGTGAGGGTCCGAGAGCGGTAGATCCACGTCATATGTCTAGGTCTAACTACCCTAGTCGAGACTCCTGATTAATCTCCCGCAGGAGTCCTGGAAAAAAAGTCCTACAGGAGTCAGCAGGAGTCCTGTCACGGGAGCCCGGTCACAGGATCCTCTGTGGAGTCATGGAGGATTTTTAAGGGATTCAAGAGGGATTCCTCAAGACTCTCACAGGAGTTCTATGGGATTCTTAAGGAAGTCCCTGGGGAGTTCTCGGGGATTTTCAAGAGAGT